ACCAAACATCATACATTAAAGATACCAACATACATTTTTTTACAAATTGTACTTGTTCTTCGATTACATGAAAATAACATAAAGTATGATGCATCAAAAAGGTAGCAAAATATCCAGATCCAAGGCTCGAGTACCTGTTCACTGCGTCCCTGAGAATACAAGTCATTTTGAAAAGCGTCAACATAGAATGTTGGTGAGTTCATAAGCATATTTGCAGGAAAAACTTTGTAATATCTATGTTTATAATAAGTTGTAAAACTACAGAAAGTCCAATATTTTCTATAAAACGTAGTTGTGAGTTTCATTCCAAAACCGTGTAACTGCATGCATGTTTCTTATTTTCCTTTGTTTGTATTTGAAAAGAGTGTGTTCCCAGAAAATCCTATATTTTCTGTATATAACGAGTTGTGGTCTTAAAACCCTAAGACCAGAGTGGTGATATTTCTTTACCAAATAGACGAAACATAGTTTTGTATTTTGTAAAACTAGTAGAGTGTTTATTCCTCGTAAATTCGAATAATATTGTTATCCTCTATGTGAGTCGTTACAACCATGCTAATGTGACTAACGCGCCTGTCTTGATGTTCTTCAGGCGTCGGTTTCTAAAGATATTTGTCACCCTAGACTGGCCCGTCTAGCTGTAGCGAACAGCTCAGGTGTGGAGGTGTCAACCCCGTATAGATCTATACACAATTACCCCGCTCTCCCTCCAGGAGACTCTGTTTTTATAAAAATTATAGAAAAATCATCGTAAGTCGAAATTTGGATCCGTAAACTCTGGGAGTTTGGAAATTGAGTCTACTTTGTTCATAATTTTTATTATAATTTTTAATTGTCTCAAACCAGTGTGAAAATATTCTTCTTCATAGACTGGTCCGAAATTATTTCTGAAATGATAGGCAGTTTTGTAAAAATCGCCAAAAATTGTAGAAAAATTGTATGAACGCGTGCAAGTAGTCCTTAGAAAGGTATAAACATGAACTATTTGAATAATAAACATTTTTGAAAAATATTGAGTTTAAGATGGTCAAAAAAGTATGTAAATAGACCAAAACTTTTCTGTTGAAAGCTGATTTTTGAGTTTAGGTTATACATGTTTGAACACAACACTCATATTTGCTATTTTTGAGTGTATAACCCATATCCACAAGTTTCCATGCAATATATATGTTAACAAACACATTTCTCATGATTTTTATGAAGATGCATAAGATAAACTTCATGTTCATGCAAATACTCAGAGGTTAAACACATTACACATTGGTACATGCAATTATCTATTGGTTAAACTAGATTTGACTTGTATCCCCCCCCCCAAAGAGTATGACAAACATGAAAAGGAGTGGGGTATTGAAGCTCACCTTGGGAATTTTTGAGATGATGAAGAAGAAGAAGTAGAAACTTTCGAGCCTAGCTTGTGCCTTGGAGAGGTTTTCGAAATGGTGGTGCTCTAAGGATCATATACACAAAAATAAAAGTGTAAATGGAAGGATTTTGGCATAAATATGAAGTAAAACATTTGATTTTAGTATAGAACTTACCAAGAAAGCCTAGGATTGGTCTTTGAAGATGATGATGCTCGAAAATTTGGAGAGAATAAGGAGGTTGCTTCTTGAGTGTTTAGTGAGGAAGAATGAGATTTGTGAAGTGTATGAGTGTGTGTGTGTGTTGGCCGAGAGGTAGAGAGGGAGGGTAGATAAGGAGAGTTGACTCTCCTAAAGATGATTAGATGGTTGCCTAGATGTTTGGTGGTCAAAACTTGGAGGCATGTTGGACAATGATGTGGTGGTAAGCTCATTGTCCATCTTTATTTTTTTTTGTTCAATGCCCTAACCGAGTAAGGGAGGGTTTTTGGCCCAAAAAGGGTAGCCCAACAAGGGTGATTCCAATTTTTGGCTTGGCCCAAGAGAGTTCTTGGCCCACTAATATTCTATGGAGGGTTTTAGGTCCATTTAAGAGGTTTTCGGCCCAAATAGGGCCCAAGTATGAGGTTTCGGCCCCATGACAACCCATTAAAACTTTTGGCCCAATGGGAGGCCCAATAGTGGTTTTCGGCTTAATGGAAGGCCCATTAGTGGTTTTCGGCCCACTAATGTTAAATAAAAGTTTTTCGGCCCAATTTAGAGTCCAATGGTAGTTTTCGGCCCATTAGGGCCCAAAGAGGGGTTTTGGTCCAATAAGGGATTTGGACTTGCATGAGGTTGTTTCGGCTTGAATCACATTGTTGAGATTTCCTTAGATAGGGTGTTGCAAGGTCACATGGAAGAAGTTGTTGTGAGCAAGCTTCACATCTTAAACCCTAAATTGCTAGTTGTGACACATCAGTTGAGATTTCCTTGAAGTATTGGCTCTTAAGTTTCGGCCTAACGGGCCACTTTTCTTTGAATTTATCAACAAAAAAAGAGTAAATCTCCCTTTTTATGATTTCTGGATCTGTACACCACTCACCATTGATTAGAAGGCCATCAATCTTGCTCTTACAAATGTTTTTGTTTATATACCCATGGAAAAACCTTGTATTTTCGTCTCCATCAACTGCCCATTTGATCCTAGATTTTTGTCTAAGATCAAGAGCCTTGATTTTTTCCAGCTCTATTATTGATCTGTACCCCGAACTCCTAGCCTCAATCTCATCGCTTGTTAACTGCCTTACCTCAACTTCTGAGTCAAGGTGGTCTACTAGCTTCTTGAGTCGATTCAATTCGTTTTCCTCCTTAGGGTGGTCAGATGCCCTCCATTCTTTTAAGCCTTTCTTGATGTGCTTATGTTTAGCAGCTAGGTACAAGTCAGGTGTGCCATAACCACTGAAATTATTCCAATTGGATATAAAAGCCTTCTCAAAACCATCCCTCAACAACCAGGAGTTAAAGAATTTAAAGGGGGGTGGGCCAAAGTCTCTGCGATAGGATGATAAAAGTATAGGGCAGTGGTCTGATATTTCTCTTGGAAGGGCAGTGACAGAGACATGAGGTATGTGATTCAAAAAACTTGGGCAAACTAAGAACCGGTCCAGTTTGCTTAGCTTGAGGTCTGAATTCTGAAAGCATGTGAAACGGTGACCTCCCATTTTCAGATCAACAAGGCTATTATCATGAATGAAGGAATTGAAGTCACTAGCTGCTCTTAGACAAAAGATTGAATTAAGCCTCTCTTCCCTCCTTCTCACCACGTTAAAATCACCCATCATAATCCAAATACCCTCCTTAGAATTTTTTTAAGTATGTTAACTCCTTCCACAGTGCTGCTTTATCTGGAATCGATTGAGGCCCGTATATATTAGCGAAAATCAAATGCTCCCTAATACCATTCCATGTTCCAATGTTGATTAAGTAATGTCTGGAGGAAATCACCTCCATAGAATTGAATAAATTACTGTCCCACATATTCAACAGACCCCAGACCTCCCCGCTGAGTTGACACGGTTATCTCCGAAGTCTCCTGTATCCCAACAAGCTCTAGCATCAATATTCTCAGCCTCTAGTATTTGTGTTTCCTGGATTGCCAAGAAGGAAACTCTATGCCTTTATTTCAAATTTCTGACCCAATCAATCTTATATTTCTCCCTTGTATTTCTCCCTGATTCCCCTTATGTTGATTGAAAGGAAATTCATTTGGGCACGCTGAACTCTCCAGGTACACCAAGGATTTCCGCCAACATTTTATTATTGGTGTCAATCTCGAATCCAATGAAGGCACCGATTTCAGCAGTTGCTTCAATTTCACTAATTTTCGATATTTTATTAGAATCAGGTGGTTTGGGGGAAGATGTTGGCTCTGCATCCGATCGGAGAGCTTGTAGCTCTGACGTGTTCGCATCTCCATCATTGAAGAGGGCTTTATTGGTAATTATGTATTTCTTGTCGGAGAGAGAGCTTGAGTACGACGTCTTTTTCTGGACGATCGACCATTGGTACTTACCTGCAATTGGGAGGCTTGATCGTTGGGGGGAAGTGGATAGCCTAGTATAAGGGAATGGGCCAAAGCAACTAGATTGGGCTAAATGTGGTGGGAAGGAGGTGGGTCGTGGGGAGCCCAACAATGTTTGCTCCATTTTACAGTCAACACAGGTTTAGTGAACATTCCTAACGGTTTGATAAATAAATAAGAAAACAAACTAATTTTTGTAAGGACAAATAAAGATAAAAAATAGAAACAAATTGATTTTGGTAAGTGTTAAATAAAGAAAGCGCTTAAATTTGCTAAGGATAAGAGGTGGATTAATTATATCTCATCATATTTTGTAAATTTCAAAATAAGGGTAAAATTGTAATAAAAAAAATTATTTTAAGTGGAACATCAAATTGATAAGTGGAAATATCATCTCTCTTCTTTAAAGCATCGTCCCCAACAAAGTAGGATTTTCCGATAATTGAATAAAGTCAAATCTCAAGCCAATTTTTCTCGGATGCATCCGTTCTTTACTAATTAAGGAATTAAATACATAAAAATAAAACGTAAACTTTCCAAATATTAAAGAAATCACTTCCATTGAAGTTTAAGCCATTCAAGTAACCTCCATGGCAATGTACACGTTTCATTCTCAATCAAAACACAATCTCCATAACCTTTTTTTAAAGCAATACAGAAAGACAGTTACACAAAACTTTGCTTTTAATGCATTATTTGTTTATTTACGGCATTCAAAAGTATAACGCATTTAGTGAGAGGTTAATATCTCATACTCATAAGTCATAACTAATAGTATTCAGTTTGTTTGATGTGTATTGGATATTACATTACATGTCATGTTAGCATAGGTAAAACATAAATAAACAAATTTTGCCATAATATAATGATTCAATACCAGTTTATGTGGTTAAAAATAAAAATCCTAAATTTTAATTATTTATCTATCTAATGTAATTAAAAATAAATAATTTTGAAGAACAAATTAAATACTATAAATTAGGTACATACAAATCCCACACGCCAATACAATACATAATCTTTTTCAAATTCTATAAATTCGCTTCTCTACATAACAATCCTGTAACTGAACCATGTCTTCAAGAGCTAGACAATCGACCACCACAACCACCACCGCACCGGAACCACAGCCACCACCACCATCATCATCATCCACCGCCATCTCCCAAACACTAACAAGCACAGCAAACCTAGCCAAACTCCTCCCAACAGGCACCCTCTTAGCCTTCCAACTCCTAACCCCCATCTTCACCAACAACGGTTCTTGCGACGCCGCCACCCGCCCCTTAACCGCCGCCCTCCTCATCCTCTTGGCGACCTCGTCCTTCCTCGCCTGCTTTACCGACAGCATCAAGTCCGACGACGGCCAACTCGTCTATGGATTCGCAACTTTGAAAGGGATGTGGGTATTCGACTATTACGATCCGAAAATTTTAATCGATTTGAGGAAATACCGGCTGAGATTGATCGATTGGGTGCACGCTTTGCTGTCGGTGTTGGTGTTTGGAGCGGTGGCGTTGAGGGATCGGAATGTTGTGAGTTGTTTTTATCCGTCGCCGGGACGTGAAGGTCAGGAGGTTTTGGACATTGTTCCGATCGGCATCGGTCTTATTTGCAGTGCTTTGTTTGTTGTTTTTCCGACTAGAAGACATGGGATCGGGTATCCAGTTACGCGAGATAATATTACAGATTGATGTAAATACTTGAAACCCATCCATTTAATCTAAAATTATTTTTAATCTAAAATTATTTTTTGTTTTATTTTATTATTAAGTGTAAGACCCATGTATTACATGAGTTTATTTTAAAGAAAAAAATATAAAATTATAAACATTTGAGAAGTATGAATTTATAAGAAAAAAATAGAAAAATATTGAATTATTAAAATTAAATTGTTTGTTTTTCTTTTAAATTAAACAAATACTTTAGATAAATAAACAAAGAAAACTAATGAGACTTTAATTTAAAAACTTTAAAATTAGAAAGAAATCAATTAATGAAATTGATATGCATTTATTATTATATTTATTGTAATTATTAAATTTAAATATTATATGGAAATTAATAAAATGAAAAAACCACAAAATATCATTTGTAAAAAATTAATTGAAAATAACCAAAAAATGATATGTGACAAAATCAATGAGAGTGTGACATGTGGCAAAAGAAAATTATTTATTAAAGAGGATTGAAATTAGTTTGATTTACATTTAAAATAATAGGAAAAAGAAAAATGAACTTACGTTAATTATTATATTTTATACTATGAAACCAAGGATACTCATATTATGAGTTTATGACAACATGCCGACTAACTTTTCCCGATATATATATATATATATATATATATATATATATTATTATATTATTATATTATTATATAAATCTTATTATTTCTAAAAATAGATTAAGGCTTGAGGGAGTGGCCTCGTCACCCCTCTCGCCAAAACTTTCGCTAAGACATGGTACACCATCCCTTAACAGTCGCCAAACAAGTTGTCAAGATTAGCTCGCTAAGGAGGCAGCGTGAAGAGAGAGAAAGTGTAAAGGTTTGTGATTGGTTGCTGGACTTTGACTGTCAATTAATTACCTTTTGACCCTATGTTTTTATTTAAAAAAATTGTTTTTTTTAAGAAATTGTAGGGGTGTTACCACTCCCTATGAAATGCTAAGGAAAAAAATGTTAGTGAGGTGGAAGGCAAAAAAAATGACGTGACAACAAAAAAATGATGTTGCGAGGCGCTAAGGGTGCTATCACTCCCTTTAGCCTAAGACGTTCAAATCATTAAGTTAATAATACAACCATGTCATGCAATACATGCCAATTTGATTTTGAATGCCTTATCTTGACCAGCTTTATCCTAATTTTGCTTAAAACATGGGAGAATGATTCAAATCAGTAGACTCATTCAAATTACTACCTCCTTTTTCGTATGAAATCCACCACTGCACCATCCATCTAAAGAATACGCTCTCTCTCTCTCTCTCTCTCTCTCTCTCTATTGAACATACTTTCTCCCCGTTCCTTTAACCTAACTTCACCTCTATCAAACCCACCATCGTCAACTACCAGAGAACACTATCCTCCTTCATTGTTGACCCAAGTGTAGCTATGTCGCCGAACCAATAAAAGCTTTACCGACTTTGGTGATTATTGCTTCATTTTTTTTTTCATTTGTCTCTGTATATCAGAAGAGAGATGGAAGTAGGGTTTAATTTTGGAGTTGAAGAGAGTGATTGTTAACATGCGTATGATTTTGATCCTATTTTTTTCATTTGGATTTATATATTCTTCTTTTGAGGTTTTAACTTGTGTTTTTTTATAATAAATAAGGATTTGGTGGAGTATTATGGAGAAGGAAGCAGGTTTTACAGCAAGATCAAACCAATAACCACATCAGTACATATCCACAGCCATTACCAAAGGCCAAAACAATTGAAAACAATGAAGAACATGACATCAAAGAGGCCACTAGAAAAAGAAGGTAAGAAGAGAACCCAAACCTCAAACACTTAGCACCAGAAGTAGCCAAAGCAAACACCTAGGGACAAAATGTTCCACTATACGAGAGACTGAAAAAAAACAGCAATATCACAACATGACCTGCCCACATGTAGGGGTAAAATGGTCCAAATCAGAGAGACGTTCCCTTAATCTGATGCTCTGTTACTGTTTTCATTCTTAGGCATACCCTTTTGATGTGGAGGCACAAAAGAAAATTGAAGCTGGAATCCATCAGGTGTGTGAGCTATTTATCAATTTTTCTCACATGTGAACATTAATTAGATATTTGGTAATTGGTTATAAACTCATTTTGCCTTCTATTAAAGAAAGGTATTGATCAGAATTGGGTTGCTGCACTAGAACACAACCCTAAAGCTTTCGCCAAATTTCACCTAAAATCTTTAGATAAAATTAAGTGAAATACAAAATCTATTGATTGATCGTATGATAGTAGGTATCCATTGCATTCCCACATGATTAAGAATGAAACCAAATAGATATCATGAGTCGGTTAGACTTTTGTTTTACATTAGATAAAGTTTTTACTTTTCAGGACCTGTACCCCAAACCAATACATGAGCGACTATTCCCAGGTTTGGCAAAAAGAACATTGGGTATGCCCAAAAAAGTAAGTTCAATTCTTGTTCTTTTTTTTTGTAACACATACACTCTTAACAAAGGTTACTTGTTTTCCTTTTAATCAGGTTGGTCTTCTTTTATATTGTCAGTTTCAAGTTGTAGAAGTAAATTGTCGGTGTAGGAACTGATAAAACTATGCATTAACTTTAGCAAAACATAGATTTTTGACTGAAGTTAACCTTTTGGGGACATTTTTAATGAAATTGACAAAGAAAAGCCCTTTCTTAGCTTAAGCACGAGTGAGTCCTCAATCCAACGGGTATTTCTTTTATGGAAAATTTATGATAATAGCAACTCACTTTACCCTTTCTACCAATATAGGCAGTGTACATTGTTTTAATATGGATATGATATTAAACTTTCAGGTTCTTCTCAAAAACCTTCATATAGGGTGCAAAAGTCGAATAAAAACTTTGGAAATGGTGGAGATCAATTGTTGTCTATAAAATCATACATAAAGAAAAAACTATAAATGTTTCTTTTAGCCACCGTCGAGGTTCATCTGCGCTTCCGTCCATCTTCATCTGCCGATATCTTCCCTCTGCGTCAAGATCTAAGATGATTGATTAAGTTTTAGGTGATTCTCTCTCTATCTCTCTCTCTCTCCTTTTATGTTTGTGTGTCTCTCGAGTTTCATGAGAGATGAAGAAACAAGGGAAGCATGGCAGATGCCATCCTCCACCACTATCACCACTTCGTGGTGGTGACCACCATCAAACATAACCTACCCATCCTATCCTCTTTATGGACCATTATAAAGTTATTAAAAGGTAATATTCCTGATTTGTCTTCACTATTATCCTAGAAATGTCGTGATTTTTGTTTGATTTTTGGTTAGGTTAAAACAGAATCTTTTGATCCATTATCTGCCTTTTTTCTGACTCTATTTTTTTTTTCATATCTGACCATAACTGATCTATCTAGGTTTTCCTTTTGATGAGTTTATTTTTTAGGTTATGTTGATGATTTCTTTAGATCTGAACTGCACCACTGGCCAACTATGAACCCTAAACAACAGGTCAAATAAGAAGTAGACCAGGTTTCTATTTCATTTTTCTTTTCTTTTATATTTATGTTCCCTTTCTAAACAACCTTTTTAACTGTATGGATGCATGTGTATCACTATTTATATGATAAATTGTCCCGATTGTATGCGTTTAACTCAAATTTAATGTTTCTGTCTTTTTCATCACCAACATATCTTCCGGTCACGACTTTCCAATAACTGATGATTGATTGTTTGCTTATTTTTTTATTCCAAATACTAACTGGAGCTATCCATCTTATCATCAGGTTGGAGTGGCTGTTTTTAACTTGAGTCCAACTTTATTTCACCTTTCTGAATACAATGAAACGCAGCTTATATCATAACACAGAGACACTCCTGCACTTCTACGATCTAATGGCAATTAGTGTCCCTCCTTACAAGCTATCACCTGATGTCATGGTTGGGGTATCAATACATTAATTTGTTGCTATTTTTCAGGTTTTCTTTGAAAATTCAAAGGGAAAAAGCTTTTCACGTGCATTAAGTTTTTTTTGATTTTATATATATATATATATATATATATGTTTTAAAATTTGAATTTTTCAAAGTTGCTTTACTTTACAGACCCGTGTTGTATATTTTTTATAACCGAAGAAGAAAGCAAAGAGTAAGAGGCATTACCACATCATGTCTCTCACATACATATGGAGATGGTAACAACCCATAACTTAAGGTATGACCAACTAACCCCTAAATATTGTGGTCTGATCTGTTATGCCCCTGTATCATCGGATCAAGGAAAATGGTGGTTGAAATAAGCTGAATCATACAAAGAAAAGATGGTCAAAGTCTAATATTGGTTCAGATCGGTTACGACGATTATTGGACCTTAGATTATGGTATTTCTTTCTTTACTTGGTCGTGTGGGTGTGGGTACATTAGTTGATCGGTAGAATTTTTTCCTTCTTTTTCTTGATGTCTAGGTCATTCCAAGTTAAAATCTTCTTTAACTTCTCACATTATCTGGATTATTGAGTGTCAAGTGAAGGAGAAAAGTAAATGGTTCTCATACTTTCATACTGCCTAAAGAGCCAAACAGGTCTGTTATCATTTGTTAAATACCTACCTTTGATATTCAAATGAGTTGATATAGAAAATGATTTTCATGAAATCAGACTTTATTTTGTTTAAGTATGATGTTGTAAGAAACGATATTCATAAAAAAAATACTGAAAAATATGTTGTTCAATTAGGGAGAGTACATTGAAATATATATTTTAAGTTGGAAATTTGAAAACTATGTTCAAATTAGAAAAAAGACAATCTGAAATTTTTTTAAACTTAATTGTTCAACTTCACGATGTAGCATGCTATTGGATTATATGGGAAAATTGAAAACTTTTTGATTAAACTCTTAACTATGTAAGATTAAACTACAATAATTGGATAAAATGTGTTAATTATGTATGATTAATCGATACACTTACAATCTGGATTTATAAATTTGTTTTTATTTATAGGTTTATATTTCCTGTTGTTAATAATCATTCATAGGGATGAGC